AAATATCACAAACGGTTATTACTTCACAAATAGTAAAAATAGTTGAATAGTGTGGATTTTTGTGTATGAATCGTGAGACTTAAAAGTTTCTGTTTTTACTTGAAAGTTTGAAGATGAAAAAATAAACTACGCTATCGTTTTTTTAAAACAAATTCATTTAATTGCTTTCAAAACGTCATTCATTTCGTGCGTGGAAAAAGACCGTTTTTCCTGTAAATGAAAAAAATAAGTTTAAAATTGTATTTCATTTCCATAACGACAGTGGCTGTAAACAATGCGTGGTAAATAATAAGTAGCATTTACATTCGAAATAGAGAAAGTCCTGATTATTCCGAGATAACTCGAAAATGAAAGTATTCGTATTGTTTGTCTTAGTTTTTGGATGTTTCAATTATATTTCCTCGGAAAAAGGTCAGTATGTGAGATATTTTATTTTTTACAAATTCATTTTCTTCTAAATATTATTATATTTACTAGAGAGATGATAAATTTTAACTTTATAACTTTCATTTTGCATTTTAACATAAACTTAAGAATATAATTTTAGATTTAGACCGAACTTTTAAATGAATTTTTGGTGAACTCAGTTATTAAATTATGTACAGTTCTAATGTTAAGTAGCCTCATGTTTAAAAAGATTTAACTCTTCAGTTTTATACAATTAGATTCATATTTTGTGTATTGATTTTACTTACTGAAATCCCTCGTTTTCTTCAGTAGTTTTTTTGAAAAAATATCACTGAGTTTTGAAAAGATATAGAGCAAGGACAGCGAACCTTTTTAAGCATACTTCACTTAGCTTGACAGATGTTTACGCATGCAAAACTTTTAAACTTCGAACAATGTTGTTTAAAGAAATTAAACAAATTTGTATTAAGTCGAATAATTTTTAAAAAAGCTGATTAAAAAAAGACTATTAGGTGATAAACAAATGGTTATTTAAAAATTTTTTATTTGTTTTAATATTAAAGTATCAATTCGTTAATATTTCTATATGTTTTGAGCATATTTTGTTATCGTATGTGGTTAATGTAATTTAATAAATGCATTTGATACCTATCTGGGTAGATTCTGAAAATGATTTATTTTTAAATTCATATAAAAATAAAAAAATGAAATAAAATAATTGAGTAATATTATTCTTTCATAACATTTAGATAATATATGTTGTGTGTTAAATACAGTAATACCCCGAACTTACGCGATAGGTGGGACCGAGCGGTAACCGCGTAAGTCGAATTCGCGTATGTCGGAGTATAATTTCGTATATAAATACATACAAATAATTTTTAATTGGGGCCGGAGACTTAAGAAAACAATAATTTAAAAAAAAATGTGAGACCCGAAAGGTCCTGGGTCTAAATCAATAATTTTATTTAATAATGTTAAATATTGTCACCAAATATTACTTCATTTTTGGTCAGAAAAATAATGTTTTAACGTGGGAAAACGCAGATAACAGATGTTACTTCCTTTCACAGAAGTTAGAACATCCTCTGACTTTCCCTTATCTGGTTAAAATCCCGCTCAGATGGGAAATGTTTACCCCTCGTTCATTCCCCTTTCATCCGTTCTCATGAAAGAGTTACTGGNACGTGGGAAAACGCAGATAACAGATGTTACTTCCTTTCACAGAAGTTAGAACATCCTCTGACTTTCCCTTATCTGGTTAAAATCCCGCTCAGATGGGAAATGTTTACCCCTCGTTCATTCCCCTTTCATCCGTTCTCATGAAAGAGTTACTGGCCGATGATTGGTCGAGATTCAGAAGATATACAGGGAATTTGTCAGAATTCGAGGAGTTCTGCGACAGATCTGGAAGTGTCCAAACTCCATACGTTATTCCTCCTGATGACCATCTTCCTTAGACGAGTCACATACAGAATAATTCCAGAGTTAGCACTTAGAAACCGTACTTGGATTTTGTGCACATATTGATCTCCCATACGAAGAAGTAAATGAACTTNATACAGGGAATTTGTCAGAATTCGAGGAGTTCTGCGACAGATCTGGAAGTGTCCAAACTCCATACGTTATTCCTCCTGATGACCATCTTCCTTAGACGAGTCACATACAGAATAATTCCAGAGTTAGCACTTAGAAACCGTACTTGGATTTTGTGCACATATTGATCTCCCATACGAAGAAGTAAATGAACTTTATCTCCGAAGCGTCCCTTGCATACAGAGAAGAAGACGAACGACAACTAAACAGGTCGTATGTTTTATAACGATTTTGTGAGCTCTCTCTCTCAATCGCGAATAAAGTATAATATAAGTTTAGATATCTTTCGATTTGTATATTGTTTGTAGTGGTTCTATTCGTCGTTCATTAAGATTTTTGTTTGAGTTTATTTTCTTTGTTTTATTAAATTTATTATTTCGTTTTTAATTAAAATGTCTCTTAATTTTGATTCCGAATCGGATCTCATACGCGTGTTAATCCGCTGATCGATAAATTCATTAACTGGTGTCAGTCCTGACGTAGATCCGAATCTCGCGATTAGGATCGTTTATAACAGCCCTCCTATAAAAAATAAGAGAACTGGTCTTATTGACTAGTGCCTGTAAGTGGTGTACATCTGATTACGTCCAGGCTGATCTCACAAAAATGTTTAATAAAATCTTCGATAATACATATGTATAGCAAATTAAGCCTATATTATTTCACAATTTTTCACATTTACTTGATTATTACGCCATAATTTTAACATTGTTTCCATCTCAGCGATAATACTGTGACGTTTACGAATGATGCTTGAATTTAAAGATCGAGCATTTTTCACAGCTTCGAAAATTTTTTCTTTGCCTTTTATAATTGTTTTGATCGACAATTCCGGTAGATCAAACTTCTTTGCCAATTCACAAAATTTTTATTTTTGTATCGAAGTCTTTAATAATGGGCACGTTCGTAAAGTCAAACGAGTTAAACGCGTTAGTAACGAATCGTTCGAAAAGTCTAACGAAATAGAGATAACGATTACTTCATTCTCGCTTAACTCGTTCGAATTTACGAACATACCCAATGTTAACTTTACATTCCAAAGATACTGCATTAAACAAGAAAAGAAAGTTTTTCTTTTCTTGTTTGATGCAGTAAAATTAGTTCTACTTCGTTTGGATGACATAGTAGAGTTTCTCGAGTCTCCGTAAATATAACAAACACAGAAATAAATAACACAAAATAAATTGTAGCTATGTGTGGATTCCGCGCTACATATCCGAACATGTAAGCTGAACAATAGTGTGGGGGAGTGAGTAATCGAGAGTTGCGTGGCTCTCAAACAAAAGACGAATCGACGAGATTTGAAAATCACGTAACTCTGGGTTCGTGTAAGTCGGGGTAGCGTAACTCGGGGTATTACTGTATAAGATATTCACACAATCAGTGTTTTTTATATTGTATAATCAATGATATAAATAATAGTGCATTTTGAAAATAATTAATTTAATTACAACACATCTTGATAATTAAACAGAAGTTGGATTAGATCAATACTCCTTGGAGTATACTTATTAATTCTAATTCGTATCAATACACTTTGGAGTATACTTATTAATTCGTATAATAACTTATTGTAAAGCTCTGATATATTTTAGATTATATTTTTATTTTAACAATTATTTAATTTATAAAGTTCATAATAAGTGTCTGCATGCCTGTGCAGCATGATGTTATACACTGTTTTTAAAGCTTAATAATTGTCATGCTTCCTGTCTGAACCTTGAAACTTTACAGGTAGTTCCTGTTTGTGTATTACTGAAAAAGATAGTTTCAGTTAAAAAAAAACTATATTTAAATTTATAAAAAAGTATTAAAAAATTAAAACTATAAATTGCGGTAGAACTCCTAATATAATGATTTTGCATAAATTAGTTTCTTTATAATTTTTTAGCATGGAAATCGGCGATTGTATTTAAATGACAGTATTTAACGTAATTAATTATACAAATACAAAAGTTTATAGTCTTTAGTGGAAAGCCGAAGTTAAAAATAGAAAAACGAATTATTTTATAATTCTTGCATTAAATGCAATAATATGTATAATTAACTTTAATTTATAGAAACATAATTAAATCTTCTGATAAATGAAAACGATTGCAAATAAACTTTTATTTTCTCAAAATTAACCGAATAATTTGTAATTTCACTCTTGGGAATGCAAATGTTATATATATCTACCATTGTTTATAGTCACTGTGTCGTCAGAAACATTAAAAAAATATAATTTAAAATTATATTTTATCACGAAGGAAAACTGTTAAGTCCATAAACAAAAGAAATAATGATTTAAAGAAAAATTTATTTTTTACAACATCAGTATTTCAGTAATGTTTGCTGTGCAAATTTATATTGAAAGAAAAAGAAAATACGAAATTCCAGATGCATAAACAGACAACACGCTACCTATTTAGCTTTGCTATCGACGATCTGTCCATTAATAACAGGCTTATTCATTTTATGTGTGTACATAAATGTCTGTTAATTGCAATACGAATAAAATTATCTGATAAATTTGATAAACACTTTTTCATATTTAACCCTGCAATAAATGACCTGGGTGTCACAGACCCATGTGACTTTTGCAGTATATATTCATTATGTTTTTAAATAGGTAGGAAATTCATATTACACATACCTTCCACTCAAAGTAGTACTGGAAGTTTTCAAAGTAAACTTATTCGAATAAAACTTAAATTGGCATAGACTTTAAAACTGAAAATAGAAATAATAAATTTTCAAAAAATAAAATCATCATTAGGCTCGTACTGTAGAGCTATAAAACCGATTATTTTACTACCAAAATTTAATAGAAAAAAGTACGTAATAAAAACTTTATATAAAGTTTCGGAGTTCAGATAAAAAGCATGACAGTTATTAAGCTTAAACACAGTGCATAAAATTATGACTTAGAGGCATGCAAACACTTATTATGAACTTTATATATTAAGCTATATATAATTTTTTTGGTTAATATTAAAAATGTTTTCTATTAACAGATTCAGGACACCAACACTACATCCTAAAAATAGCAGCAATTAAGGTAAATATAATTATTCTTAAGTTATATAATAAGTAAAATTAACACTTTAAAAGCTTCAAAAACGAATACATTAATTTAATTAATCTTTAACAACTACTGTTCAAAATCATTTTCTAGTAGGGAGAAAGTTTTCTGAACACAAAACTGCTTTTTATAACGAAAAAAAAGTTATCTGTGACTAAATAAAACATGAAAACAGAGTTTCGTGTGTGTACAGTTGTAACTTTGTGCACAAACAAAAGACGATTAGAGCAGTTTCTTAAAAACATCATCAAAACGTCACTGGTAACATCATTCTACCAAAAATGTGTTAAGACATGTTTATTGATAGTATTTTCTATGTTAATGGTTATCAAATATATGACAGATTAAAAAAATCATTGAAATTTGTTTTTTTGATATAAATGCTTTTGTGCAGAATACTTAAGTTTCTTCTTGTGTTGTATTCTTTATACTATGGTTACTACATAAACTAGTAGGAGAGCAAAGCAGAATTCATTATCTAATGCCATGTCTGTTTACCAGGAGAGTTGCACATACAATTTAGACTAAAAGTGTGTCGAGTATATACAAAACTATAGATACATTTCGATCATCGATATATCATAAAATCGATAATGTAACTCGACTTTTTCAAATGTAATTGAAATTCAGAAAAGAAAACTATTAAGTTTTTCTAAAATTTCAGAGCTATGCATTCGAATAAATGACAGTTATTCGTTTAATTTGATATAAAATTGCGTGATTCATATTTACTTTTTAAGAAAAGAATTATTTAAAATTGCTAATACTATTAATCCTCTATTAATTAAGCAATGTATTAGTATAAACTTGCATGCATACTATTTATTTCAGAAATTCATTTTTTTATATTTATTTCAGTACTAAAAAACTCGATTGATGATTTTTTAAATAAAAATTGATTTTTTTGCAAAATATATTTTTTAGTAAATATTTTAAATTCTTACAAAAGTTATATATATTAATTGTATTATTGATGAATCGATGAAAATAAAATTCATATAAAATAAAATATAATGAAACTCAAAACTTTCATAAACTGATTTGTAACTTTTTAAAAATCTGTAGGTTTTTTGAATATGAAGTATATTTTTTTGTTGTAGAACTGCGGGTTGAAAGTATAATGAATGTTTATCTAAACATTTCGAAAAATTGTAATAATTCTATATTTACATGCTACTTCATCAAATTTCATTTCTTTAATTAAAAGAAAATGAAATTTAATGCCAAATAAGCAATCGTTTACTAAAAAAAATGTAAAATAACAAAACCAAAATAACTTAATACACTATAAAAACAATTCAAAAATACATACTTTCTAATGGGACTCAGTAGAATTTAGCATACAGCACTATTAAAACGTTGACCTATCAGTAACAGTTGTCCCTACCAAGAAAGCAGTAGGCGTTAGATACACTTTAGGATAGATATTTTATTTTAAGTATAATAATTCAATTTAAACCTCTGATAGAGTTAAATTATATTTAGTTTTCTACCCAATAAATTGTTTTAAGTTTTCTATGGTATCTTTTGAATTTATTTTATGCCAAAAATTCTTTCTTTCTTTGATTTTATTTCATTTTTTCTATCACATCATCAAGATTGTTACAAATATCAAAATGTAGAAAATTTTTTTAATGAACTTGTTTATCTTCTATAAGAAAAAATTTATATTAACATATATTTTAACTAATAGAAGTTACAATTTGAAAAATTATTTATTACAATTACATTTTATAAAATTTTAAAATTTTCTAAAATGTAATTTTTTTCACAATATGGGTTTTTTCAGATTGTAATATTGCAGTTACACAAGTACATGGATGTTTAAAATACATATCAATTAATGTTAGCTACTGTAAAAATTTTAGCAAATTTATATTTTAATCTTGGACTAATCTGCTTGAACATTGATAAACATTTTTTTATCTTTTATATATATATTGCTTTCATGTTCTTCTGCTCATCGTTAAAACGAATTGGATAGTTTGTTATAGATTTTATTCTTTCATCCTCATCAAAAACTATAAAACCATTTTTTCCTTTCGAATTTCATTTACTTTAAAGTAGTGCAAGACAACTGTAAAATTGTATGGAATATTGAACGAAAAGTTACTTTCAGCAAAAATATAACAATGCGCAAATTTGTACAAACGAAGAAAAAAATAATTTATACATTTGGCCAAAAGTGACTACAAGTCCATACATTTCCATGATTGCAGCTTTAATATAAAAGACTATTTCTCTCTCTTTTTTTAAAAATGTAATTTATATGAAATGCCAATCAATTAAGAAACTAAAAACCTATGGTGTTTCTTAAATCTAAAAATTATCTGCATAATGATAATTTTAACGTTTTCAAGGATATGATGTAAAAATCAAATTAATATAATTCTTTGAATTAAAATAAATTCAAAAATATATTAAAAAATTAAAATAAACTAGTAACGTAGACAATAATTTTAATTTTTTTCCATTAAAAAATTAAATAATTTTTGAAAAGTCAAAAGATTATATAATTTCCCTCAGTTAAAGTAAAATATAATTTAAACTGTATCGAAGCTTTAAATTACATTCATATATAATACATAAAATATACACTTTAAAGTGTATCTAACGAGAAAACAAAAGAAAAAAAACAATAGCTGCTTCTAAACCAGTTTACGTAGTAATCATAATTAACACTGTTATAAAAGATTTTATTTGTAAAGGAAAACTACTTCTATTTATAATATTTTCCAACTCCAGAAATATTCTTGTTGTTTTTCAAACATTACTTTATTGCTAAATAATTTATTAAAAATTTTGTTGTGTTATCAAAGGAAATAACTTATAAGTTTTTAGGTATTCAAAAAAAAACACAAAATACAAACTTTGTGTTCTGTTTCAGTATGAAAATGTCGTAATTCTAGACAAGTCTGAAAACCATATTTTAGGAGGATGGGAGTGCCATGTCTTCAAGGCAATGCAACAAAAATTACGATTTAGGTAAAGTTAATGAACAAAAATGTTGCGGTTGTTTATTATATTATTTACAGTTATTGTTTGGTCTTTATGTGTTGCATAAAATTAGTATTAAAATTAGTAAAAAAGTTCTGAAACAGTAACATCTGAATTGTCATATGACAAGTTACAAAGAACATACGAATTGTAATCAAACGTAAAGAAACCTTTTAATATAAATATTATTTTTAATAACTTTTCTTACGCTTTCAATAAGTTGATTGATTATCTTTATGAAAGAATTCGAATGATTTTGAATCTTACAGAAGGAAACATGTTTTTGAACGTTTTTACATTTTTTAATTTTGTATAACGTGTAGTGCGGAAGTCTGTTATTAATACGTGAATAGATAATTATAATATATTCATAATACTGACATGTGCAAAAATATATACATAAACTAAACGTAAACAGAAAAAATATATAAATGAATAAAGTAACACAAGTGACAACATAAAAAAGACAACCAATGAGCCTATTTCTTTATCCAATCAGTTTTTCATACTAATACATTTATATATTTTTATAACGCCAGCTTTTCATGCCCTGAGACTTTTTTCGATTTTCTAAAGTTTATCTTTTTGTCAGCCTGGTTACCCCCGTGTATTTGCTATGCTTTTTCATACTTAAGGTGTCTCCTGTCATGATAACTCTTGCTTGTTTTTATTTTATTATAATTTTTCCGAATTAGCTATAACATACGTTGCTAGTGCAGTGACTGCCTGCTTGTTCTATACGTTCTTTTAATGTTTCTTTGTTATCATACCTTTTAATGACATCTTTGTGGCTCCAATATATTAATGCTTTTTTGCTTCATTTTGTCTGGTGTAGGTATTCTGTAAATTTCAAGAATAGTTTTTTGGTCTATACGTAGCATCATGTCCATACGTAACATATAAGACACTGTCAGATTTCTTTTGAGAACTAACTTTTTGTTGCTACTTTAATTTCTTTGTAAATATTGCGTAGGAGTGCAATGTATTCTATCACTGCATTCTTAAATTTTTCCCAATTATTAACTTCGTTACCACCTATTTCATTTTGTTGACTACAGTAGACCCCCTTATAAAACGGATTTTTATAACGTAGCAAAAATTTGCGACAGTATTCGTATAAAGACGCTAAATGAGACTCGTAAAACGCGGTAAAACGTCATCGCCGACTCGTGTCGCGACAAGATCGGTCGAATCTGTACCAGTAGTGGATGAGCAGCCGAACTACTTTCCGCTGTCCAGCCCCATGCTACAGAAAGTTTAGGTGGGTAAGTTGAGTTTACTATCGTCTGTACAGTATGTAAATTAGGTACCGTAAGTCTAATACAGCACTGTAATTTTATACATTTCTTGCGAAAGAAGCATTTCTTATTCAACGGCCATAAAAATTATTTCTATTAATGATGACTCCAATGTTCAACAAATTTTTCGCAAAAAAATAACGTATCAGAAATCGCGGCCGCCGTATGGTGCGTTGCTCTGCGACAAAAACAAGCTTAAGTAATGGCAACATCGAACGGTGCACACTCAATAAGTAATCCTACAATTTTTTTGTTTATAGCATAGTTTCTACGGATTATTCCCAAAAAATTATGTGTTTTAAAAACGTTAAATAGAATTAGTCTAGAATCGATTAATATTATAAAAGAAAACTTTTCAAACAGCCGTAGTCCGTAAACTTCACACGTGTCGGGCTGTGATTGGCTCATGTATTTAAGGATTCTTACAACGCAAAATTCGTATAAAGCGAACCGTATGTACAGTACATCGTTACAAGGGGGGGTTTACTGTATTGCCTTTCGCACATTCTGATGTGCGAAAAAGCAATACAGTAGACTCTCCCTATAAATCAAAGGTTAACATGAAATTTTGGAGATGACTCCAAAAATTTCATGTTAACCTTCGATTTGATCTAAGAATTTTGAATGCAGCTCTTTATGATTGAAAACAATGCTTATTTAGGATCATGAAAATGATAAAATAATATGTTTTAATGCTTTTTAATTAGTTATTCTATAGTCAAACCAATAGATAAATCACCTGGAAATCGCCTTAAAAATGGTTCTTGGGATGGATTTATCAAGAAACTTGTAAATCAGGTAAGAAAATGATTTGTAAAATTTATTAGTGATTTATTAAAACATGACTTTGTCTTCCTATAGAAAGCAGATATGACTTGCTTTTCTTTAAATGTTAATTCTGAGCGTTTCTCTGTAATTGATTTTTCTTCTCCCGTAATTCTTCAAACTATAAACTTTGTGACAAGGTCTCCGAGAAAAACACCGAATTGGAGTTCCATCATAAAACCATTTAATAAAGAGGTAAGAAATAACTAGTAAAATAAATTATTATACACACTTCTTGTTAAATGGGATAACGTCAAGAAAGTCATAAAAAATAGTTATCACAACAAATACAGTAGAGCATCGATTATTTGACCTCCGAGTAACTGTCACCTCGGTTAACCGATTGTCCTATTCGGCAAATTTCAAATGTCCGCTAGTGATGTAGCGCTAGAATATTTGGCTATGTCTTGGCAACTTTAATATTATTTTTACGTGTTTTAGCTGGTAACACTGGATCGACCATGAAAGAGAGCCAATATTTAAACAAGGCTTAATTTTTCTCATTTTTAACGATACAATAGCGACGATTATTATCTTTTATGAAATTTGATAAGCTTAAATTAATATGGAGGAAAATTCATCGCGAAATAGGTTAATAGCGATATACTAATATACTAATACTAAATACATGGGATATGATAAAATACTAGTTTAATAATGGATTTTTTTTATACTTTTCGGTTATCCGACATTTCAATTATCCGACCAACCCCAGTCACCAATTGAGTGGGATAATCGAGGCACTACTGTACTTTGATGTCGAAATGTAAATTAAAAAATTCACATCAAAGAACATATAGCAACAAACGCCAAATAAAGTAATTTAACTAATTACTGCGCTGTTCACAGGCAGTAATAAGTAATTAACGATGAGTAATAATAATGTAACAGTTATTATTTTTACTAATTATTCAATTAAAGAACATCGATATTATGATTAGATTTAATATTATAATTATTTTTTAATAATGTTAATGAATATTATTTAATTATTAAATATATATATGCAATTTTCGAAAAAAAATTTAAGAATATTTGCCGCAAAATTAGTAGCTTTTTTAAGTGCACCTTCGAACACTGATTGCTAGTTTGAAAACTGAAATTGTAAAATCCTCTAAGTGCAAAGAAGATTCTACTATTTCAAACAGAAAAGTTTTGAAAAATTTTATGTTTGCATGATCTAAGTATATTAAATATATAATGTATATCAAGCACATACTTTCTATACAATTTCCATTATACGAGTTTTTCTACAATAGTTGAAAAGATAATGAACTTGTAAAATGATAAACATACCTGTTGTTTTTTTTCTAAAACCTGTAATCAGATTATTTGCTAAATGAAATTGCAAATTTTATGTTAATCTTAGATTTTTCGATAAAATACAGTAATAATATAAAAACTTTTATAGGTGTGGATCATTCTACTATTAATTCTCGTTATGATGGGATTCGTTTTACACAAAGTCATTGAAAAAGATTTAAGAGCTGACAAAATGAAAGTCAATTGGACAAGAAGACAAGTCTTCTGGAATCTGTTTTGCACTTTAATATATCAAGGTATGTTAATTTGTTAAATAAAGTAAATTATTGCATGATTATGCAATAATAAAATAAAGTTTTTTTCAGGANTAATGTAACAGTTATTATTTTTACTAATTATTCAATTAAAGAACATCGATATTATGATTAGATTTAATATTATAATTATTTTTTAATAATGTTAATGAATATTATTTAATTATTAAATATATATATGCAATTTTCGAAAAAAAATTTAAGAATATTTGCCGCAAAATTAGTAGCTTTTTTAAGTGCACCTTCGAACACTGATTGCTAGTTTGAAAACTGAAATTGTAAAATCCTCTAAGTGCAAAGAAGATTCTACTATTTCAAACAGAAAAGTTTTGAAAAATTTTATGTTTGCATGATCTAAGTATATTAAATATATAATGTATATCAAGCACATACTTTCTATACAATTTCCATTATACGAGTTTTTCTACAATAGTTGAAAAGATAATGAACTTGTAAAATGATAAACATACCTGTTGTTTTTTTTCTAAAACCTGTAATCAGATTATTTGCTAAATGAAATTGCAAATTTTATGTTAATCTTAGATTTTTCGATAAAATACAGTAATAATATAAAAACTTTTATAGGTGTGGATCATTCTACTATTAATTCTCGTTATGATGGGATTCGTTTTACACAAAGTCATTGAAAAAGATTTAAGAGCTGACAAAATGAAAGTCAATTGGACAAGAAGACAAGTCTTCTGGAATCTGTTTTGCACTTTAATATATCAAGGTATGTTAATTTGTTAAATAAAGTAAATTATTGCATGATTATGCAATAATAAAATAAAGTTTTTTTCAGGAATTCCGTTGCATCTGTTAAGAAGATTCCCATCAAGATTTTTAATTGGAATCTGGTTACTATTGACTCTAGTTTTGATATCCAGTTACATCGGTACTCTAATGTCTTTTATGTGTTCTCCTCTGATAGAAGATGTACCTAGAAATTTTAATGAGTTAGCTCTTGCAATTAATAAAGGTGACTATAATTGTGGAATATTAGGTAAATACAATCTATGGCAAATAATGCAGGTAAATATTACTGTTATAATCTTTATATCTTACATATGTGTTATGAGAAAAATGAATAATTTGTAATGCTCAGCTATTATGAATAATAATTAAAACATGCAACAGACTGAGAAAAATCGATTAATTTATTAAATTGACACGTCATTAAGAATAAAACTACATTTTCACTGCGAAATTTCATTTTTAAAATAAAATAACTTTACTGTCATGTTTCTGGTTATTATTTATACGTAACAAAGTAAAGTATTGAAATGGTGCCAAATTTGACTTTTCAAATACTTTGTTAATATTCATGTTTTGACAATTCATGAATCCAAAAAAGTCAAACAAAAAAAGACAAAAAAATTCCGTGGCTATGTGTTTTGGTGTGAGATGCTGCTTGGGTTGAAGGTTATGGCTCTAACTCCTTTTTGCAGTGTTTGGACCACTAAACATGTTTAACTTGTAACTGGATGGCTTTACTAACAATATGTCTTAAGATCAAAAGATCTTAAAACCGATTTTTTTTCTGACACCAGTTAAGAAATAACCCATCTTAACTCGCGATTTTATCTATATGGCTGAAACTGGGCATCTAATATCTAAATGGGAGGGCTAAACGAGCGGTAAAGTTATGTACATGTTGATAGTGTAATCTGATCTTGGAAGTAGTTACCTCGAAATCTTTTTGAACACAACAAAAAGTTTTACAATTTAACTAAATGATCGATTTCATATTTATAAATACTATAATGCAACACCCAATTGACCGAGAACTCCATGTAACAGCCTACTGTCCTGGGAGACCTGGGATCAAATACGGATAAGTAAATAATCGCCAAGAAAAATTTTAAGGGTTGCCTTGTCCCTAACCACCTGGCATGCCCGAACCCATAATGGGCTTGCAAAAGAGGCCTACTTAATGCTCACAGGGAAGAAAAAGTTTAGAAGCAAAACAAGGCTACATATTAACAAAAACAACATATGTTTTTGACAATACCTCCAATGGGTTATGGTTAAATCAATTTTGTAAGTACTTATATGCTAACTGAATGAGAGAAAAAGTATACATAAATCTATAATACCTTCTGTTTAGAAGACAGATGTCACGGTATAGTTCAGTCAGCTTTGGAGTAGTAGCGGGAGTTTCTCTAAAGACTGGAGACTATTTTCAAAGAAAAAAAATGATAGTGTTGAGACAAAAAGATTCAATGACTTTGTACACACTCTTTGGAAGGAGTGTCTGCCAAAATCTCATATGTCTGCTTTTCTATTTTGTACTTGTATTTCTTTCCAATACAGAGTGTAAAAATTTTTGTAAATTTTGTTTGGTGGCAATACAGTAGATCCCCCTATAAGACGGTAGATACGTTCCGTTCTTTATGAATCAATTTCGTAGGAATCACAGCCAATCACAGCCTGACACGTGTGAAGTTTACGAACTACGGCTGTTTGAAAGGTTTTCTTCCATAAAATTGATCGATTCTAGACTAATCCGACTCAACATTTCTAAAATACGTACATTTTTTTTGAAAATAATCCGTATAAACTACGCTATAAACTAAAAATTGTAAGATTACTTACCGAGTGTGCACCATTCGATATCGCCGTTGCTCAAGCTTGTTTTCGTCGCGGAACAGCTCAGCAAACCGCGGCCGCGATTTCTGATGTTATTCTTCTGCGAAAACTTCGCTGAACCTTGGAAACATCATTAATATAAATAATTTTTATCGCTGTTGAATAAGAAATGTTTCTTTAACAAGAAATGTATAAAATTACAGTACAATCGACCCCCCTATAATTACAGTCCCTATAATTACGATTCCTATAAAACTACGAAAAAATTGCTAACGGTATCCGTAAAAAATAGTAAATGTTCCCTATAAACACCTCAAACGTCATCGGGCAGCCGAACTACTTTCCCGCCGTCCGTAGCGTCACGCTACGGAGAGATTTCTATCGTCAGGACAGTATTATATAAATTAGGTACTGTACATATAATTATATATTAATTATATATAAATTATATGTACAGTACCTAATTTATATATAATTATATGTACAGACGAAACTAAACTCAATTTACTCGCCTAAACATTCGTAGCGTGGCGCTACGGACGGCAGGAAAGTAGTTCGGCTGCCCGATTACATTTTACGTAATTATAGGAGTATTTTACCGTTGTGTACGGATACGGCTACAATTTTTTCGCTGTCTTATAGGAATCGTAATTATAGGAACCAGTCTTATAGAGGGATCTACTGTAATTATAATTAAATATCCGAATACAAAGTCATCCCCAAAACGGAACAACTATTTATTATCTTCATATTTCAGAGTATATCTTCTTGAAGGCTGAACCTTCATTTTAGACTACTGGCTACCAAAAGTCTTTCTAAAAAACACAAAAATACATTTAGTTAAAAATACAAAATTTATTTAAAAATACAAAAAAGAAAACACTATAAATTGTTGTTTTCTTTGAGAAAACTTTACATTCTGATATTTAATTATAATTATTGCACTCAGACAAAAATTTACAAACGTTTATTAAGTATTGTCACCAGGGGGAAGTTTACTAATTTACATATAACAGAGCTGATTTCTAGATAGATAAAAATGGGCGAGTGGTCTCCGTTGCCGCTCATCGTAGTGGTGACCAGACCCTGAAGACTGGGAGGTTCGTCGTGGGTTCGCGCCACGGTCGGACAGGCTGGCTGCTTGGAGTTTTCCGGGTTTTCTCCTTGCCTATAACGACTGAATAGGAGGCCAGTTCCCCATAAAAGTCCTCCCGGAAAGCATTTATTTCCCGCGCGTACGTATGGCTGTTCGATACAGCCGGCTAATCGGTCGCCTAGCGATCATACACTTACACAAGTCTACTCGGAGAAAGAGCCTATAGTGAGCTATAATCTTTATATTAACATCATCGTACGAAGAAAAAAAAAGAAGATAGATAAAAAGCCAAAACAACCCCATGAAAGTGTGATAAAAATCAGAAGTTGTCTGTATATCACCAATTCCTTTTTAAAAAATTTTTGAATTTATAACTTGATGTATTTCGGTGTATAAAAAAGAACTATTTGGCAGCCAGTAGCCTAAAACGAAAAGTCAGTCGCCAAGAATGTATAGTCTGGAATACGAAGATGATAAATGATAGTTTTTTTGAGGGGGAAGACTTTGCCTTCAGATATTAAAATGTAAAACTTACCGATGTGATAGCCAATTAGCCAGCCAGAGCCACGTTACCTGACCAGCTGTATTTTCCATGTGGAAGGAACAATCTCGTCACGGCAGTCAGAAAGTGGAGAAGAAGCTTCATTTTCCTGTATTTTTTCTAACCTAATCACACAAAAATTTGAACTTGACTAATTCGTTTCTCTCATGAACTAATTTACTTAAATATGGTCTCATGCTTTTAAATTTCACATCAGCAAATATTTTACTTAATATGTGATGATGGGGTACAGATTAAAATGAAATTTGGCATGGTGGCTTGTATATAAGGGGCATTGCTGCTATTAAATTTGTTGGTTAGAGTTTAAAAGACTGAGGAGTCTCAGGCAAGCTGAAACATATCGTAATTTTTGTTTAAGTGTACTTGAATCTGGTGCATAGTGTTACCATAAAAAATTCTTTAAAACATAACTTTTCCAAAAATGAATGGTCTAGTACAGGGGTCAGCAGGAACGGCTCATTGTGTAGACGTTTGTGGCTCTTCCAACATAAACTCCAATTTCACCTCAATTTCAAAGTTACCCCTCCTCCAAAAAATTAATTTTATGTATAAAGTTTTCAATTAAATAAATAAAATAAAATAAAAATGTTGTTTTTCTTATCAGCATGCACTATGACAACGAAATTGACCCAAAATCTAATGATAAAAAGAAACCTGAAATTATTACCTTCTACAATACCACTAAAGAAAAAGTTGATATGGTCGAGCAGATGGTAGCCATGTATGACACCAAGAAATAGCTGTCATTCTCCCATGACTGTTTCCTATACTCTTCTGATCATCTCAAAAATAGAATATTTTATCCTTCCTTTACACTATCGAAATATTCTGAAATAATTAAACCGCTGCAGTTTAATGAAAAAGGTGGCTATGCACCTTATAGATGATAATGTAAGAGTTAAATGCAAAACGTACGTGTAAGTAGAAAACTCAGGGAATTAATCAAAATAATATTGCCTGCTAGTCCTCTCACACTACATGGGGCATAAAAATGTGCATTTTGTCTTAGGTCAAGTGATTGTAAAGTAAAAACAGTGTGTATAGGGAGTGATAAACATACCCGTAAAAACATAGCAAGTTGATTGTCAGTTGTATAAAGTGCCAGAGTACAATGTTAGCTGATAGATCAAAGTTACAAGGAGCTTAAAAATAGCAATTTAAATTTTTATTATTGGTTTTATAAAAAGATCTAATGCAATGAGTTTTGATAAATTTTGTTTTGTAGTGTCTTAATGTATTTATGTACAGTGCTAATGTAATATTTAATCATACTTAAAAGTAATTATATGCGTAATGATACATGCCTTACCAAACAAATGAGTAGAACTTCATACATTTTTATTTACATGCTTCATTTGACAAAGAGAAAATTTCGGGTTCTAATCTCCCCAATGCACAAACGGCAAAAGTAAAAAAAATCCGGTGCACTAACACAAAGCTAACATAAACATATTCACCACACATTGAACATTTGCAAGCTTTTAAGGTTTCGTTTTTCCTTTTGTTAACCTTAAATTATCCAAAACGCATTGCGGACATTTTTTCGCTCAATGAGCGTTTAGGGTTTTTCAGCCTAAAATTCATATCGATCTGTTAATGTGATAAACTGTGGTAAAAAAACGTGTTATTTACTGCAATACCTCACTTTGTTTTTTATTATTCAGAATGGCTGAGCATTATAATTGATGCCTTTATTAATCACATAGTCCATAGCATTTTCGTATATATTTGTATAACTGTATTCGTTTTTTTACTTTAAGAATTCAAGTTCAAACAGCTATAAAATTATGAAAAATAATATAGAAAAACACGATAATTTTATGCCCGGATCCAGAGCGATGCAACGCGTTATCGATGAAAATTTTGCTTTCATAGGAAGCATAACAATGATAAAGAAGCTTATCCGAACAGAAGAAATGCATAAATATCGAATATCCGATGATCCTTTGATGACATCTACAAAGGCTTTTGCTATGAGAAAAAATTTTCCTTTAAAAAAAGATATAAACGCTATGTAAGATATTGTTATTTTTCACTATTTACGGATACGAATGATAGAAATTAATTATTATTATTTTTTTTGTAGAGTGATTCGTTTATTCGAAGCTGGAATCGTTGAAAAAGTCGATAATTCCGAAACTAAAAGTTTTGTGGAGTTTTCTGAATTCCAACCTGTATCTTTGGAAGATCTAAGTAGTATTTTAATATTGTTTATTGTAGGTTCTGCTCTCTCTGTTATTTGTTTAACTTTAGAAATATTATACAAAAGATATTAGTTAATTTTATGGTATCATAAAACTGCTTTATTTTCTATAACATATTAACTGTGTATTGTACATTGTGATGAAAAATCTTTATTTTTGTTATTTATCTGTTTACTGTATACATTATGTATTTCTTATACTAGTAGCAATCTGACTAACTAGGCATTAGGTTCATTAGAGACTGCAATTTTCCAACACAGTAATATGAGAACTCATCCAGTATATAAAGAAGACAACAACAAAATACTCAAAAAGCAATGATGCCAATGGCAATGTTAAATCAATTACATCCGAGCTTTAGAAATGTTGTACTCATTAAACAGTAAAAACCTGTAAAAGAAAATTAATTGATTAGTATTAACGAACTCATTTGATAGATGAAAAAAACTGTGACGAAATACATTTAACACTCTTTTTAAAATCACTGCTTTCCAGGTTGTTAAGCTAAAGTGAAGAATAAAGATTAATGATATTTCGAACATTTTCGTATCTGCTTTGTGTACTGTAAAACGATTAGAGACGTTTTAAATAGCGAAATGTATCTTGTGATTAAAAATTTATATGTAATTAGAAAAGACTACTTTCAGCATCTATGATGTTATATGTTTGTGAGTTCGAGTTTTGATTTTAACCTGATATATATATATATTCTAATTTTTAATCTATATATTTAGTGACAAGTGCTTATTCCAATTTCACAATGTTAGAACTTAGAAGATTCTTGTAAAATGTATGAATGCAATTGAGCTGAATAATTCTCATGTTGATCTTCTGCACTAAATCTCGTTATTTAATTTATTTACAGAGAGATATTACCACTAACTACATTTAATGAAATTATATATGTGGCTGCTATCAATTTTTATGCATTGTTCAGAAATTTCTTGCTTTAACACAAAACATAAATATAATTCTAGTATGTATTACTAAGATAAAGATAAAACATGGAATAAGATACACAATTTTTTGAATGATACAAAATTTTTAAAAGAATTCAAGGCATAAGAGTACCTGTGACTATCATGGGATTTGAGGATGTAAATGTATTCAGAAAGACAAAAAAAACGAAAAAACGACATGTATGTCATGCCTACTTGAAAGAGACAGAAGAAGATGAGAAACGCCTAATGAGTATGGTAATTACAGCCCAGTTGTGTGAAAAGAGCAAATTTTTTTTTTACTTGTCATAGATACAAATGCGTTCATCATACAAAACGCAAGCACATGATTTTCTTTTACCTCATATTTCAAGCTGTTGCTAATGGTTCTTCTACTTACTACTAAATTTGTGCTAACCTTTAAACGTTTGAACCATCAAAGGGTTAAATTAAAAATTTTATCCGAGTGGATACTTCATAGATTACTGAGATTACCAAAAAGCTTAAAATATTGATAATTTTAATGCTAAATCATTTTCATTTTTACCGTTGTTTTTTTTTTTTCGTGATAGAAATTAAAATCAAAGCTAGAAATTTATCTTATATAATTCCAAGAATGTCGATATAATTAAAGAACTTTTATCTAAATTAATAATTATAATAATTTTAGTAAAGTTATGTATATTATTAATTTATACAGGAGATGTGATATAACTTGTACTTTTATTCTCAAATTACTTTATATTTAATTATTAATAACAGCAAAATAATAGTCTAATTATTTACAGCAAACTTTCGTTTAGTATGTTTTTAAAATGCTCCACTGTTGTGGTGAAGTGCTTATGTTAAAACTTTTGTCCATCTGTCTGATGACCACGTGCTGAAAAAATTCTACATTAATTATCTCAGCGTTATGTTTCACTATCACCAGCACCAGCATAGAGGAACTTCACATCTACAACACTGCAATAAATACTGCACTCATATTGCAGGAATTACAAGACTTTTGGTATGTTTTAACCAAAATAAATTGCAACACAACAAGCTCTTCTAAGTTTCTCTGCTTGCTTCTTGCTTGCGTTGGTGAACCGTTTGCTAAGGTCTACTTTTGTGTTTCATGTGCTCTATTGTGAGTTTTTCCTGATGGATTTTTCAATTTAGTTAGTATTTCTGTAACTGCTTAGATTTTAATTAAGATTTTTGTTCTCAATAAACCAGATTATTCATTTTTACGTGTTACTCAGTTGTTAGGCTCAGTTGCTGTTTTGGCTTTTCCAAGCAGAAGCAGTTAGAATTTTTGTATTTAATCGATTTAAATTTACTTTTTTTCACCTTTCACTCGATCTCCTTCTTGTTTTGAGTGGCTTGTGTAAATTATCAGTTGTTAAGGCGTTTTTCAGTTAGTTAGTCTTGTCTTTGTTTAAGTCTATGTTAGATAGTTCTCTTTTTGTAGTCAGTTAGGACTATTAAAAAAATTGTTATAGGGAAAACTATTAAAGGGACAAATAGTTAATGATGTAATCGACTACAACTAAAATATCTCTTGTCTCTTGCTTGGCACTGCTTATCTTTTTGTTATTGTCTGCTAGTCAGCTCTGTCTCTTCAATAAAACTATTGTCTGTATTTTACAAAACTGCAATCAAACTTAAAAGAATATCTTGCTATTGCATTCGAACTGCTTTGAATATTCCAACATTACGAAATACATAAATATCAATTTCTAGTCTTAATATCGATCTGATAATATAATTTTCCTATTTCGTACTGTAATTAAATAGCTAATAAACAAATATTGTTTTAATTTAATATTTATTGCTCTACTTTGATGTATTTATTTGTTACAAATTATTTTCGCATTCTGATGTGTAAAGTGTAGTAAAATGTATAAAGTGTATCTTTTAAAAACTTGTAATGTATTTTAGTATTTTGGATAAAGTTTAAAAATTGTAATATAATGAATGTAATATTTATTAACTTGTCTTTTATTATATGAAAACTTTAATGTTTGTACATCTTAGTACACAATAATTTAAATTACTTTAAATCTGTAAATGAATAAATGATGCCTTTCTTCTGTGCCTCAAAATAAAGCATGTTTTCTAGTTTAAGTGTATTTGTTTTCTTTAAATTGATTTCACTTACAGTTAGTGTCGAAATAACCATTGCAATAAAACAATCATGCATGCAGCACAAATATAAATACACACAGTTATAAAATATATCATTTCTATTGTTAGCAGTTACAACAGATTTAATTTCTGATCTTTTTGGCAAAACTTGTATTTGCTGTAATAAATAATAAAATTATATGCATCAATACACAATGGGTCATCCTGGCTTTTTTATAGCAATTGTCAACCCATTTGCAAAGTTTTTATTCACCAGGTTTCTTTTTTGCCTACTATGACTCTATACCAACTAGAATGAAAAGACGACTGACAATAAGGTACTGTATATTTGCCAAATAAGACCCATCTAACTTTTTGTATTTTCACTACAGTATGTTGCAGTACAACTTTCAGACTGTGTACTTGCAGAAATGTGAAATTAAAGTTATTACAGAAAACTTTTGAAAAGATGCTAATTCGTTTTCCAAAAGTTATGTAATGGACCTTATTTGGAATAGGGTTTAAAATACATAAAGAAATAATTTATTAATTAAAGTAAGAGCTAATAAAATTACAATAAATGAACTCCTAACTTTTGAAGTTAAGACTTCAAAAGTTTAGCTTCTCATTTTGGTTTTTCTCAGTTAACAAGTTTAGGAGATTTTTTAGTTTTTTCTTGTTTTACTGTGTTACAGTATTTTTGGTTCTTCAGGTTTTTCAGGGTCGTTTCTCAACCTTTGCGGTTGTAAGTTCATAGTTAGGCCTTACTGAGCCAGTTTTAACTGCCTAGATATTTTCGTAGCATTCCCAGTGTTCGTCTGTATTTTGGCATTTTCATGAATTTTGTTTTTTGTAGTTACTTGTTTTTTGTAATTCGTTTCAGTCGTAGGTGCTTTGTTCTCCCTGTTTGTTTCGTCTTCCTAGGCCACACTATTTTCCAACTTTTTGGGTTTATTGGTTATACTGTATTGTAGTATTTTCGTTTTTAGTTTTCCTTGGCATAAGTTATAAGTTTTAAGGTACAGTAAAGAGTCGTTTATTCGAAAGTCGGTTATCCAAAACGTCAGTTATCTGAAAGAATTTCAGTCGGCAAATTTAAATTTTCGCTAGTGCTGTAGCGCTGCAATCTTTGGCTATATCTTGAGCTACTCTGATATTTTTTGTTAATGTGTGTTTTAGCTGGCAGCACTGGCACTTTTGTGTGGTGTTTTTCTGAGGACTGTGTGTGGTGCTGAATCGAACGTTTTCGATACTAGATTAACTTCTAAAGTATAATTTTTTTTGGTTTAAAATTTTTCGATATATTAATTTTGTTGTAAAAAAAATAATAATTTTTATTGATACAATAGCCACAATTATTATTTTTAAAAGTTTACATTAGGCTTAACATCTACAAAAATTCAATGCGTACCGACACGCAACGGAGAAAAATTTTATCATGGGTTATTTTTTCATACATAATCGGTTATTTGAAAAATAAGTTATGTGAATAACCCCAGTCCGCAATTGATTCATATAAACGACAGTCTACTGTAGTTAAAAAGTTTAACCCCTTCATTCCCTTTGAATAAAAAAAAATACGCTTTTGTAATCCAACCCATTTTTATTACGTAAAAAAATTTTTCAATTCAATTGAAAAAAGTTGGGTATTTCGATTTTTCAAATTTTTCAAAAATTGGTTCCTATATGGCAGCTTTTCCTCTGGATAGCCAACATTACAGGGGCAGCCTGCAGCCTGCAATGGTGGCTTTCCTGCATGACTCGCCGTCGTGCAGGAAAGATGCCATTCGTCGGTTATCGTCGGTTAGCTTTAATAAGTTATTTTTCTGTGAAAAATTCGTTGAACTTTGGAGGCATCATTAATAGAAATAATTTTTATGGCCGTTGAATAAGAAATGTTTTTTTCACAAGAAATGTATAAAATTACAGTACTGTATAAGATTTACAGTACCTAATTTATGCACTACAGACGATAGTATACTCGACTTACCCGCCTAAACTCTCCATAGCGTTTAAGTAGTTCGGCTGCAAGTCCACTATTGGTCCAGATTCGAGCAATCCTGTCGCGTCACGAGTCGGCGATGACGTTTTACCACATTTTACGAGTCTCTTTTATCGTCTTTATACGAATACTGTCGCAATTTTTTCGTCGCGATATACGAATCCGCATTATATGAACCCGCGTTATAGGAAGGTCGACTGTATTTTTATAAGCCTTTATTATGTGCACTGGTGCACCGATAAGACCTTGGTCTTTTTCTGGGGGCACCATTGCAGATACACTTTTCAAGAAAAGAAAAAATTCATTAGAAAATTCTTCAAAATACTTTTTCCAGTCAAAATTCATTTATTACATTTCATAATGAGAGAGAAAAATGATGACTATTGCTTAGGATCGCATACGTTTATGTTACAGTCAAAACCCGTTTTTAATTAGAACGCGTTTTAACTTATTGAAACTAGCTTATACTGAATGTCTTTGTTAAAACCCGTTTTGTCTAGTTAAAACTAGTTTATACTGAATGTCTTTGTTAAAACCCGTTTTGTCTAGTTGAAACTAGTTTATACTAAATGTCTTTGTTAAAACCCGTTTTGTCTAGTTAAAACTAGTTTTAACTCAAATTCATTATTGACTACAGTAAATTCTAGTTTTAACTAGACAAAACCGGTTTTTTCTAGTTAATTTACTGCTGTACATGTTTTGACTTTAGATAAAACTAGTTTTAACTTTTAACATTAGTTAAAACTAATTTTAGCTACATAAATTTGTTTGGGGGAAATAAAGTTATGTATAGTAATTTGGCGGAAGATGCCTAACATTTTGCTTATGAAGAAAATTATAGCGCTAATTTGAGTTTAGGAGCCCTCTAATAAAAATATCTTATTCTGGAGTATGTCTTTCGAATAAAAGTTTGGAGTTTATTTTTAAAAAATTCTATACTGTGTTTTGCAATGACGACTTTTTCACTGTCTGGCATTTTAAGCATCTCACCCCAAGTATCTGGGTGAGATGCCAAATGCCATTAGGGTAAGATAACAAATATAATTGCTTAAACTTAATTTTTGAATTTCTTAACCAAATTTTCTTTATAGCATACGTAGTACAAAGTACTTAAAGTAAGTATAACAGCACAGTACAAGTATTGTTAAGTTTCCGCCCGTTCTAACGTGTTCTATAGCTAGCTGAAAGCTTTTTTCAGTCCAAAAATTTTTTTGAGAAGTTCTTATATAATTTCTATGCATATCCTGCAATAAAACGAGAAAACAAAAGTTTA